CAGTCCTTGCCTCTGTCTTCACGTGGCCGGTGCCTCTGTGTCTGTGTCTCTCTTCTGAGAGGTTTGTTTTTTTTAAATTGCGGTAAAAAACATATAACATGAGATCTACCCACTTAAAATTTTATGTGTTACAGTACAGTATTGTTAACTGTATGCATATCGTACAGCAGGTCTCTAGAACTTTTTCATCTTGCATGACTGAAACTCTACGCCTACCGAACAAATACTCCTCCCCATTTCCTCCTCACCCAGCCCCTGGCAACCACCATTGTACTTTCTCTGTGTGTCTCTTACGAGGACACTGGTCATTGGATTTAGGGCCCACCCAGATAATCCAGGATGTTCTCATCTCAAGATACTTAACTTAATTACATCTGTAAAGACTCTATTTCCAAATAAGGTCACATTTGCAGGTTCTGGTGTTAGGACACAGACATAGCTTTCTGGGGGCTGTCATCCAACTCACTACATATTCTCATTACCTTTTATATCCTTCCCAAAGATCTCCTTTGGAAAGTAAATTTTTACATGAAGCTCCAACGGTTATCCCAATCATGCTCTTCAGGAGCTGTTCAGTAGCTACCACATGCACAGCTGCTCTAGGTCCTTATTTCCTCTTATGCCAATTACTCCAGTATGGTAGTGGTATGTGGTATTTTGAATGGTAATAGCATGGTTAGATGCTGTTTTTTGGGAGAAGTGTTTTCCTATTTTTACAAATATGTGATTACAAATAGGATTTTCTCATTTTGCATGGACTGAAGCTGTGATGTTTTAAAGTGTACTCTGAGAATTGATTATTTTGAATAAGATTGAAAAGTGGCATTAAAAATCAATATTACTTGTACAGTATATGAATATTTGGCAGTAAGAATAATACAATACCAAATTCCCTATATTAGTAAAGTTGGTTAATGTCTGTATGAACATTGTAATGAACTTGGTGGGATGGGCATTTTGCTGGGAGCCCTGTTTTCTCCAAATGTTCTTCCATAAGTGTGCTAGATTGCAAGGTTTGTTCATCTTATTCACTGCTTGCTACAGTGTTTGCTGCTTGTTCAAAAAGTGCTGGGCCCTTGGCCCTGGGTTCCTCTCCTGTTAAGCAATCCATTGTGTGTGCAGTTGTCATCTGGACCCATCACGTCACCCTCGTGGGACTTTGGGGCAAGGGAAACCATTGCAAATGTGCTGATTTTCATATACCTGGCCATACTAGGAGTAATAAAGTGCATTGTCTCTGACCCAAGAGATTTGTGTTTTCTGCCAGTGTCCATGCAGTAATAGGCTAGTATTGTGATGTGCAAGTAGGGTAAAATCTCAGACAAATAAGAGAGGTCTTCAAAAAGTTTATGGAAAGATTTGTATTTTCTTTTACTTCTGTTTTTCCACGAACTTTTTGAAGTACCCTTGTATAAACATATTCAGAAAAATTCTGTGCAGCTTGAATTTTTGAATGTTTATTGAATAGCTGATTTATTTATGTGAAGTCTTGCAAATGCACATTATTCTTCTCAAAAGTCTATCATTTTATTTCTCTGCTTTGTAAATTATGATTTTTACATATCAGGTTGTGTGTGTACAGCCTTTAAGGACATTACTTTTAAGGATCTATCTGTGTCATTCTTTTTTTTTTTTTCCTTTTGGCAGCTGGCTGGAGCGGGTATCCAAACCTATGACCTTGGTGTTATAACACCATGCTCTAACCAGCTGAGCTAACTGGCTAGCCCCCTGTGTCATTCTTTTAAATATTTACAGTATATTTTATTATACGGATTAAACCATACATAATTATCCATTTCTCTGTTGGGGGGCATTTGGGTTATCAGTTTTTCCATACTGAATAATGCTTCACTAGCGTCCTCCTATCATATATACTCGAGCAAGTATTTTTTACATGATAAGTTCTAGAATTGGAATTGCTGGGTCAATGGCTATGCAAATCTTAAAGACTTAATAGATATTGTCAAATTGCCCTCCAAGAATGTTATACCGGATTAAACCATACATAATTATCCATTTCTCTGTTGGGGGGCATTTGGGTTATCAGTTTTTCCATACTGAATAATGCTTCACTAGCATCCTCCTATCATATATACTCGAGCAAGTATTTTTTACATGATAAGTTCTAGAATTGGAATTGCTGGGTCAGTGGCTATGCAAATCTTAAAGACTTAATAGATATTGTCAAATTGCCCTCCAAGAATGTTATACCAATTTATACTTTCAGCATTAGTGAATGGGAATGTACAGGAGAATTTTAAATAAATCCCAAACATATAATTTCATCTGGAAATACTTTAGTATTTCTTGCTAACAGATAAGGACTTTTTCTTTTTTTTTTTTTTTTTTTTTTCTTTTTTTCCGT